TGACAACTGCAAAACAGTTGAAAATCCCACACAGATGGATACCGATCAGGACGGGCTGGGAGATGAATGTGATGATGATATGGATGGGGATGGTAAGTGTTTATTATTATTTGACAGTCAAATCATTCTTCTAGTCACATAGTTTTGTGATTGCCAAACATCACTGGGTGTAATTAGAGGGCCATATTGGTCATAGTGACTGAAAAGGTTGGATGGTCTGTGGGAGGTGTATTAACTGGATAATTACTGCTTTTATTGCATCAATTAGAAGTAATAAATTTAGATACACATTGTGAAACCAAATGGCTGATAATCTCATTAAAACACTACCGTGTCTGTGAGGGTTATCCAAACCACTGACTGTCTGGACCAGACAATGTGGACATTTTTGTTGTTTCACTGGACTGGCAGCAGTTTATCTGTTCAAAACATCCTCCTGGTCTTTTTTGTGTCTGTTTCCAATCAACATCCTTTACCAGTTAGATCATTGGCTTTCAGGGAAACAACTCAACAAGAGTCATTAAAAAACAAACCTTTAAAACCCCAGTAAAATATTAAAATTTGCCAACTGGAATCGTAAGTGTTGTCTGACAAATGTTTCTCACATACTTCACTTGATTGCCCTTTTAGAGCACCTCTCATTTGTTCCACTGGAAACACAGTTTTAACTTGTTGCCTCTGTGTGTGCCTGTATGTTTACCTTTATATGCTTACGCATGTTGCATGTTTAGACTCTGTGTAGTGATTTGTGTAATGAGTGTAATTTTGGCAGAGCTCCGACATCTTGATCATTTGGTTATGTCTTTAACTCCAAGGCTGGATTGCTAAGTGCTTGCTCATGTCTGTCTCCTCTCTAAAAGCATTTTTCCACGGTAAGCCTCCGCCAGGCGTCGAAGGCCACTGGAAACTATTTCACCTTCGCCTTAAACAAACACCGCCATCTGGCGATGCATTTGACAGACTGTGTCTGTAGGCTGCGTTCTGTCATGCTGTTTTCGTGTCAGTACTTTTACACATGACGCAGAAATTAATGTGCTGAGGTGTTTCTGTTCTCAGGCTTGAAGAATATCCTGGACAACTGCCAGCGAGTCCCCAACCCAGACCAGAAAGACAGAGACAATGATGGGGTGGGGGATGCTTGTGATAGTTGTCCTGATATGGTCAACCCTAACCAGGTAACAAACCAAACAACATCCTGAAAAATATTGATCTGCTGCCTTAACGCTTTCTAACAGTGTTTGTGTTGTCTACCTGCAGTCTGACTCAGATGATGACCTTGTAGGCGATACCTGTGATGACAACATAGACAGGTAGAGCCCACTGGCATGACCTGTGGTGTCAATATATAGATAAAGATGGTTAAAAGTTTACTATTTGTTTTACCTGTTCTACCCCCCTTTTGTCAGTGATGGTGATGGCCACCAGAACACAAAGGACAACTGCCCTACAGTCATCAACTCCTCTCAGCTGGACACTGACAAGGATGGAATGGTTTTAAACTATTTCTTCCTCCATCCTTTATTTAATTTATTTAATGCTTCATATTTCATTAACCCATATATCAGCATACATGAATGCTGATATATGGGTGGCTCTGTGTTTACCCTACTGCATATGTGCTATTTTATCCTGATAGGGAGATGAATGTGATGATGATGACGATAATGACGGCATACTGGACAATGATGATAACTGCAGACTAGTTGCCAACCCAGACCAGAAGGATGCAGACAGTTAGTATTACTTCACGTTTGTTCCTGGGTGTGTACAGGCACGTGTACAGTGATGTTTCTGCTATGTAGTTTCTAAGGTGTGTCCTTGTATCTCAGAGAACAGAGTTGGAGATGCATGTGAAGGAGATTTTGACAAAGACAATGTCATTGACATAATCGACCACTGCCCAGAGAACGCTGAGGTCACTCTGACCGACTTCAGAGCCTATCAGACTGTGGTGCTGGACCCAGAGGGGGACTCTCAGATCGATCCCAACTGGATGGTCCTCAATCAGGTAAATAACAATGTTTCATTGTATGTGATCAGTTTTTCATCAGTCTTTGTATGAAGCTGAAACTAGTCAAATTTGATCACCTCTTCATTTTAAATAAGATAAAACTACAATTATTTTGTAGAATAATTTGATATCTGCATGTAACAGCAGCAGTACGCGAACGAACCACACAGTACAAAGAATAGTGCAATGTCAAATGTCAAACACAAGTAGTAACATAAAAGTAAAGTATGCCCTTTTAAGCATGTGCATGCATACAAGTGCATGCACATTGCAGTAAAGTGTGCAAAATAAATGTAATTATAGTTGTAAATTCAACAACAGCATATGTAAGTACTTCTTTTGTCCTTTCAGGGCATGGAGATAGTTCAGACCATGAACTCTGACCCTGGCCTTGCTGTAGGTAAGTACAGAATAACTTCATACTATCTCGTCCTCATCTGTTTTAACAGTAGAAGATATCTCATTTTCTTCTGTGTGTTTTGTCAGCCTTCATCTAATATGTTGTGTGTTTCTTCTCCTCTGTCCACATGTGTAGGCTACAAAGCTTTCAGTGGGGTTGACTTTGAGGGAACGTTCCACGTGAACACAGTGACAGATGATGACTATGCTGGCTTCATTTTTGGCTACCAGGACTCCTCCTCCTTCTACGTGGTGATGTGGAAACAGACAGAACAAACCTACTGGCAGGCTTCGCCCTTCAGAGCCGTTGCTGAGCCGGGAATACAACTCAAGGTAAACGGCTGCATTTATACAGCACTTTTATCCATTTGCTGCTCATTCACACACTCACTAATACACTGATGGCAGCGAACAACCATCAAAAGCGATTCGGGATTCAATGTCTTGCCCAAGGGCACTTCATCAGGTGGACGAGAGGACTGAAAGGGTAACCCTGTGATTAACGGACGCTCCGCTCTACCTCCTAAGCCACAGCTGGGTTTTTCTTATGCTATCTGGCTCTTTATCACTAGGTTGTGAAGTCTAAGACGGGTCCTGGCGAGTATCTGAGGAACTCCCTCTGGCACACAGGAGACACCCCCGAGCAGGTCCGTCTGCTGTGGAAGGACCCCAGGAACGTTGGGTGGAAGGACAAGGTCTCCTACCGCTGGTTCCTCCAGCACAGACCACAGGTTGGATACATCAGGTACAAAGAGACACACACACGAGACATAAACACTCTATACTGTGTGAACTGACTAACTAGTTTCACTTTGTATGTGAACCAGGGCTCGCTTCTTTGAGGGTTCAAACCCAGTGGCGGACACAGGGGTGATAATTGACACCAGTATGAGAGGCGGGAGACTGGGCGTGTTCTGCTTCTCTCAGGAAAATATAATCTGGTCCAATCTGAAGTACCGTTGCAATGGTGAGAGTCTGCAAGATAAAGGCAGTTCTGTCAGCTACATAAAGCGTACTAAGTGGGCTCATGAGTTTCGTTTTCTTTCTCATCCCCACAGACACCATTCCTTATGACTACCAGGATCTCAATGACCAGAACACACAGTGAAGCAAGAGAAGGAGAGTAACCCATCAAGAAAACAACTTGTGCATGGCTGCGCTGTTGAGAACAAAGAGGTGGAGGACATGAGTTAGAGAAAGAGGAATGTGAGAGGTACCATGATGGACAGTTTTGGTAAAATACTTTGATGATGGTATTTTAACTTTTTCATTCACGTGGGAGGGTTTTTAGGAAAGCATAACATTGGGCATTATATACTTTAATTAAGTGTAACTGAAGGCAGTACATTCTTGTGTAAATCATCAGCAGGTTCTGTGTATATCGATATCAACTGAAGTGTTCTCAGTATTTCATGAGTACTGTTAACGATGCAATACTGATTTTGAATATATTGTAAGTGCAATAAAATCCTAAGCATTTCACAAAATCAAAGAAGGTTCTATCTTATTTTTTTACATGACTAGCATTGTATGCTATGTATCTATATTAAGGAAAACTAAATTGGCCAATAAACACACCACATGACATTCAATGGATGTTTTATTGAAAGAATTTGAACTATGTGAACTGCATGGTACCCACATCTCTGTATTTCAAACATACTACTTTAACAAAAAATAATAATCCTATATGTTATGGTAGTACACAGCCTTCACAGTGCTATGTGATTTACGTTTTTTTTGTAGCTTGGTATCAAAGCAGCAGAGCACCATTTAATTTCCACATTTATAACAATAGTTCCAAAAATGATAAGCTACATGACAAAATATAAAGCATAATGCAAATGTAATATTATAATGCAAATTTATAATAATTATTTCCACAGATCACAGAACTTTAACAAAAATGTACATTTAAGTTATTACAAAACATGTTAGGAATAAAATCAGACAAAAAGAACATACTGATTTTGATGATGAATGAGAAACAAATGCACTTGCAGTTGACCATGTACAATATAAAAAACCCTAATCTGTTACATCTGTTATCTAACAAACAGGTGAAGGTCTTTGTGTGAATTTTAATTCAGCAGTAAACTCAACATCCAGTGTTGAATAACTCACTAATAAAAGCACTCATGCTACCTTATTCTGACCACCATAATGACCTGACACATGTAACAAAGACAAGGCAAAAAGTCTTTATAACTGTACAGAAAACAGCTGATCTGAGTGTCTGCGTGTGCATGCAAATACATAATGTTCTCAGTTATATCCTTCTTGGTAACTGACCAAACAATCTGAAAGTAATTTGTTGTTTTCTGACATCTACCTTTGGCAAACATTCCCCACCATTGTCACTGCAGCTCTTCCAGAGAGGCGGCACTCCACTAACGTCACTGTTACATAAGGCAGGTTGATTTGAAGAGTACTGCCCTGTACAACAACGATGATGACTCAAAATGTACAAATTATATGGACTTTTCTAAGAAAAGATCTGGCTCAAAGGGAGCATGGACATTAATAAAATCTGAAACATTATTCTTGTGATCTAACAGGAAACTTCACAACACTGGGTATCTATAATATCGAAAAGAGCTTGTTCTGTTGCATAGAAAACTTCTACAAAAGGGCGCAACATAACAAAGCATAAACATATACAGCTGACATCTGAGCCTGAGAGATGAGTTTTTAAACAAAGTCGGAGACAAATGTAAATCAATTTACACCACATTCCTTCACAAAATTTCTGATTACTTAGGACATACTTAAATACAACATCTCTAACCTGAAATAAATTTGTCCCAAAACTTTTCCACAACTTTATGGTCAAACTGTACAGAACTGAAATGCCTGGCTGAGAGTAAAAGCAAGAATCAAAGAAAAACCTGACACTACAGAGGAAATACTCAAGCAATCTATGGGGACTGGATTCTTCTCATGTTTAACAATGTAACTTAACTCCCATAATCCTTTATGTAAAAAACATGTAAGTAATAGGAAATTCCAGGAGTAAGTGGTAGTAAACGATAACAAACAATACCAATGTAATGCTAATGTATTAATAGCTTAACATTGTAAAACAAAGTGAAACAAACACTAGCATATAAAACAAAAGGCAACAGATAATCCTGCTTTTTCAACACAGAGTAGTGTAGGGGTGTATTTCAAGGTACGGGGGGTGGTGGTGGTCCCTTGGTAAAGTGTGAGGTCGCCTGCCTTGCCACTCCACTATGCCCACACTATACGTTTTTTTTAAAACAAAAACGATCTCTGTGTACACAAGCGTTTTAGCACAATTTCAGAAATAATCTGTTCATAGGAACACACCTGAAATAACATGCACATTCACTGATAATGGGCATGCGTGTGCTGGTGTAAACAAGAAGCAGATTGTCTGCTCTGCAGGTGGTTACTTAGTTGTAGAAAATACTACTAATGAAGAACAGCAATGGCAAAAAGTAAGACTATGGATTTCTTAGCTTGGACCAACAACAAGGTGGAACGGTTACTGAGAGCTGCTAGCAAAGAATACAAGGCCAGCAACGCCGGTAACTCCTTATCCATGTTGAATTAACCGTTGGCAGTAAGGCTGATGTCGTTTGTTTTCTTCAGGAAAAGGGTCAGTGGATAGGGGCGTGACAAATCAGGACCAATCAGGAAGCAAATGTGGACATCATCATTTTCAAAAGTCTCCGTTTCCACTTGTCCAGACTACGCAATATTGGACTTTTCAAAATAAAATGGGGTCAGCATTGCCAGTTTTACTCCGCTGGAGTAGTGTGGACGCTAGGAATAAAAGTAGCAAAAGTTATTAAATTTTAAAACAAAACGTATTAGTGTGGATGTAGCAGAGTGGCCTGACTCTAATGTGGTGTGTGTCCTAGGCCTCAAAGCGCTTCGGGCACATCATGGGAGCGATGAGGGTGCCCAAGTAGAGGATGAGACAGACCCAGCAGGAGCCCATCTTGAGCCAGAACACAGACCAGCTCCCCTCCAACAGTTTCTCAATCTTATGGTCATCATAACTGCAATAGGAAGCACACATTGTCTTAGCAAAGACTGTTAAGCTCAATTACACTGAACAAAATTATAAACACGAGTGGCCTTTTATTGTGGCCAGCCTAAGACACACCTGTGCAATACCCATGCTGTCTGATCAGCATCTTGATATGCCACATCTGTGAGGTGGATGGATTATCTCGGCAAAGGAGAAGTGCTCACTAACACAGATTTTGATAGATTTGTGAACAATATTTGAGAGAAATAGGCCTTTTGTGTCCATAGAGAAAGTCTTAGATCTTTGAGTTCAGATCATGATGAATGGGGGCAAAAACAAAAGTTTTGGGTTTATAATTTTGTGCAGTGTAACAACAGAGCAATCTGAAACATGCAATATCTTTTGGCCACTTGGGTGCAGCAGAAACAAGCTGTAAACAACAATGACATATCCGTGTGTAGCCTCCATTTTTGTTGCCAGCCAACACAAGGACGGATTTCATTTATTATTATTTTAGCTATTTCATTCAAGTTTCAAATTAAAATGTTGACATCAAGTATATTGTATCTGGCATCCAAACCCACCTGCATGTTGATACCGTAACTGATTTTTTCAGTTGACCAAACAAATCTTTATCCTTATGATTGAATATGAATTCTGCACTGCCTATAAAATCTGATTTATTTATTTATTTCAAGATGATAATTATTTAAAAGCAACATTATGTAGTTATTGTATCTTAAAATGATAATTACCAATAATTATAATTGGTAATTACCGAGCGTGTTATCTAGTAAGTTAAGCTAACTTCAGATTTATAGCTAGTTGCGAGTGACACGAGCAATGACTTTGCTACCATCAACAGCTGGTGGAGAGCGCCGCCAATGTCGTGCCGGAGCCAGGCAACATAACCAGGCTACGCAGCCTCTTTGGAGAGAACGTTAGCTAATGGCAGGGGCAAAGAGACCAAAGAAGACGTTGATGGAGGATGCTAAGAAGAGAAAGAGAGATTGACCAAGCAAGAGGCTCCTGGACGTTGGCAAGAGCTTTGTGAAATAAAAGGCTGTAAGACAGACGCCGAGCTGGAATTCTTTCTGCGTACACTGTTGGACTAGAAAGTAATATTGCTATGTCTAGTGTTGTCGCACGTGCTTGATGTTTGGCTGTTTTAGGAAAGTTGTCAACTTGCTAGTTTTTGATCATAACTAATGTAATTATAACAAACACACGTGTAGAGCTGTCCTTATTTACCTCAGTGGTGAATTACACTCTGAAACGGTAGGGGCGCCATTCGCACAAATCTTACATAATGTTGCTTTAACCTGCATTAATGATTTGTTGCTTTGATGAAAATTTTGAGTACTGAAAACTACATTTTTCTAGTGTCACAGCCGTAGAGAGTCGCAAACCATCATCTCTGGTGTATTGGATTGTTTGGACTTGTTGGTGAGCTCACTGGATCCTTACTATGACCAACCATATTCTTTACGAAGTTCATTATTGCAACATTTCTTCCCAAATACTTCTGCAACAAGCCACATTACTAGCAGCACATGAACGATGTGTGAAAAGACGAGTGAGTGTCTTTTCTACTCTCGGTAAGGCTGACTAACATGCCCCTTAGTTTTTATGAGTTTCTTCTAACTTGGCCTGTTAAGAGATACTTTTAATCCAAAGATGTTTTGTGGGGACAGGACATTTCTATTTCTATTGCTTACTGTCTACAAACTGCCTGGATGCTTGGTATAAGCATACCCATAAACAGAATGCCAAAGTATTGTACCACAATCACAAAGTGCGTCACACGAGTATCACTTACTGGAACCAGTTGGTGACGGTCATCATGACGTAGAGGGATCCCAGGAAGAAGACAAAATGGAAGTAGGAGTAGCTGTAGATGGTTTTCTCTCTCTCATCATATAGCACATTCTGGCCTGAACCAGTCTTCTCATCATAATCATCTAAAAAGCACACAAATGCAAAGAGTATGTGGGTGAGACACTTTTAATGTGAGAAAATGTCTTAAACACTGACTTCAGTTGAGGTGACGTGACACTCAGTGATACAAGCCAGGAGAAAAATGAACATCCAACGTCATTTTGGACTGATTAATTTCAAGGAAAACTTTACAGATTTTCAACCAGCTTTGTATCATTACAATGTTGGCAGTATGTGCAAATGAACGATGGTTAAAGTAACAATCTCAAAAATTTTCATCTAAATAAATGTCTGTTAAGTCACTATTTATCACAGAATGATGTATCTGGTAAATGGTGATCGAGCTTATGGCCCACTGATGAAAGTATTACAATATCTATATATCTGCAGTATTACGAACTGGATGTCAGTGGCGAGCCGCACATACATTGCCCCAGCGTGTTGCCCAGAGGTGCAATCAGAGTTTAGCCTAACCTTAGTAGTTCTGATTGGCTGACTGTTTGTAGCAGTTGGGAAAGTTTGGGAGTGGCCTTGGGAGGCATGGGGCCCAGTGCATTCTGGTTGTTGTAGGTTTTCTGCCCTTGAGTAAAAAGAAATACCACAACCCCTTTTCTCTGTTTTTCCTAGTATGTAGCACCAATTTCAAAAATATTCTGCTTTACCATCTTTCCAGCACTGAAATGTCCCTATAATTTAGATTTAAGTGACGAATAAAAGATGTGTCCCTGCGATG